ACATAATCGGCCAACTGAAAAATCCAAATTATTCACATTATGATTATACATAGAATAATAAAGATTTTAAATTGTGATTCAAAATTAAAATACTATATTACTATTCCAAAAATATATATTAAAGTTGTCGATTTGTAAGAAGCGAAATAATAATAAATAGGTTTGTCCTCTACATTATTCATCTTATTATACAATGTGCATAGATCACAAATTTGTGTATTCGTTATGAAAAAAGGCTATATTCTTAAAAAATTAACGAATTGTATCGATGAAATTAGCCATCGATAACATAATTTTTAAAACTTTTGATAATATTTTTCTTAAAACAAAAAAAAAAAAAGAAAAAGTCCTTTTTTGTTCATAAGAATGCTATATAATTCTGAAAAAAATATTTCGGCACATGTGTAAATATAATTTTGAAAGTTAACAAATATGTACTTAAGATTAGACATGTAAGATTAGATATGTGCTAGATTAAAGTAAATATTATTTTAATTTTACAATACATTCCTCCTCGAGATACGCACAGCTTTAAGCAAATAATTATTCATTACTATTTTAAATAAATATTTACAAAAGAAGTGCAGCAAATTAGTTTACAGTGTATGTGCACTTACTATACTTTGAGAACATGCATATATCTATACATATAGAAAAGTTTAAAAATATTCTTTAACTTTATTAGGAAGAAAAGACAATAAAGATAGGCATACATGAAATAAGCTATTATTAACAAGTGTATTAGCTTTTTACTTCTAGTGAATTTTAAAATATTACTACTAGACATTTAGAGGACATTTTTGCATTCTAGAGGAAAATGACGGTGAACAAATCGATCGGTAGACCAACTACATTCGTACATTTGTGCGCCAATAAGAAGCGACTCGCCTTCGTAGTGCAAGATTTTTTTGAAACCAAGTGGTACGCACTTTATTCGCGAATAAACGTGGAAGAGCGCATTTTTCTTCATTCTATGGGCGATCGCCGAGAGTGAGGCTAGAAAGAGACGGATGAGCAACGATGAGTGCTTGCGATTGTGGCTTACGTACGGGAGACAATTGCTGTCATGGATTGCTCTATTGACCCACGGGCGAGCACGTCAATTCTATTTTTAAATTCTTTCAGACCCCCCCCCCCCCCCAACCCCCCCCCCCCCCCCCCTACCTCCTACCACCGTCAGCGATACACACATACCATCGTCAGCAACGAGTCTGGCGCTCCTCAACTCCAGACTCGTTCCTGGCTTAATTAATTATTTAACGTCGACCGTAGCCCCAGACTCGCACACTTATCACCCGCGATATCGGACTGCGCGAGTGCTCGCGTGTGTTTGTTGCTGCGTAATCGCGCCCAGTGCAGCTGTACCCTGTAATGCTAGTTGCGATTCGGCATAACTAAAGCTGCAATTGTTTACGCATGAGCAGCAATTAGGAGCATTCAGTTTCTTTTAATGCCAGACCGTTTTTCTTTTCCTTTATTTTTACCTTTCTACTGCTGTTTTGTTCCGTTGCTTGGCTACGGCCAAGGGAGTTGTGATATTCACGTTACGTTTAAGACTTTATTAGAAGTTGATGTATTGAGGTGAATATAAATGAGGTCCTACATTGAGGTTTCGATGAATTCATATTTGAGTTAGAGCATACGAAGGATTTGTTTCACCTTTATCAGCAATAGGTAGAGTTCGAGTAGTTGATAGTTTTGCGCGTGGTATATTTATATTTATTGTTGAAAATCTTATTGTAATGTCTCGATAAAGTCATTGTGATTCTTCTATTTTTACACTTAAATACGTTAATGTAATTGTATCGTAATCGTAAGTGTATCTTCATCTTCATAATCAATGTTGCAGTTACGGACATCTTGCTATACATGAATTGAAAATAGCTTCCGATTTAATCGAAGCGAGCTTCGTTCGAGATGCGCTTGTAGCCAAAAATTAAGCACTATTAAACCGTTAACAACACCGAAGCACTAAGAAATTACAATCGCTATATCGTTATTCTCATAAAGCGCTGTAAACTGTTATTATATTTAATGAAACGGCCGGCCATACCCACAAAAAACGAGATAAGTCTCTTCCTACTGCAAAAACGTGGCTCCCTCTTCACCTCCCATTCTCTCTACCTTCTCCGCACACCCCCTCCCCCCTCCCAAATCCATCCCATCCCCCTCCCAATCCCCCTTCCAATCCCCATCCCCATCCCTCTCCCCCTCTCGCCCTCGCACCCCATCCGTGACATACACACACAAACTTCGCCAACATCCCTTGGCTTCACTTTCTCAGGACGTACTCCCGGTCTTAAAACAATAAAAATCTCGTACTTTGGATATTCCCTCGCCGCTCTCTTATTCACCATATTATTCTTTCATCGTTCCGTTTGATCCGCTTTATTCGTGCCGCTGGGCCGTAGCTTAGCCTCCATCGCGGTACAACACATAACCGCATTTACTTTTGGACTCTTTGAAGAACATCGCGCGGGCATACGGCGGTTCTTGGCCGGCGCATTAAAAGCCGTCGTGTGGTGGAGGGACGAGAAAGACAAAGGGGGTCGACGTTTTCGGCGACGTCTCATTCATGCGCGACAGTCGTGCTCGCCCCGTGAATTTCTTTCTTCACCCAACGTATGTGCCGCTTTTCTCCGCTCGCTTCTCGTTTCTCACTTTGCTCCCGCTTCCCTCCCTTCTCGCCTCTATCCTTTCGCTCTCGGAATCTTCGCGAGACGGAAGATGGCCAAGTGCGGTGACGGGGGTGTGGCCGGTCGCGGTTGAGCGGTGAAGTAGCTTTTCTAGTCGGCAGATAGGAATCATAATGGGTTACGTGACGCCACGAGCCGCGGTTGGGCCTATGCGAAATTGGTTTTTCGCCGAAGGAACGTGGACCGGCTTCATTCACCGGGGGGACAGCGCGATTCCTCGCCCGGCGAAATTACAAAGTCTGTCCACGGACGAGACACGCTTTTGCAGGCGAAAAAAATTAAAAATATGAATTATAAGCCAGTGTGCGTAACGACTCGACTGCCTCCATTCATACTCGTGAAACCTGATTATTTGTCTCGCTCGTGTTTGTTGCGTCTGTTGGTGCCCACAACTCTCTCTCTCTCTCTCTCTCTCTCTCTCTCTCTCTGTTTTCTTTTTTCTTTCCTTTTCTTTTCTTTTCTTTTTTTCTTTTTCATTCATTTCTTTTCTCAGGATGGCTCTGGCGCAGTCTAAAATACGAAGCTTAACTCTAAGAGATGTTGTCTTACGGTTGACGATCGTCCAAGCTCGTATGAATGAAATTGCGTTCTACGCACACGGAATTATTAAGTTACTCGTGTTTTTCGGATAGGCGATACGCGCTGCTGCTTAATAATTCTCAGCTAAATCGAGGTGATGGTACTTCTTATGTACGGCCTGTGGGTAGCATTTTAATTTTCAGTTCGGTGTAATTACAAATGTTTATACATATGCGCATAGATATGTGCACCCGTGCTTGTATACGTGCCAAAGTATAATCCGAGCATACAACCATTTGCCCATATACGTGTTTGTATTTCTCTGAAAATATTCGGCTGCTAATTGTTTTATGTTTTCGTTTGAAAATATAGTGACACTTCTGGGCAAGATTGAGGACTAATTTATTTTTCATTTGTAATATATACGCATACACACGCGTGCACGGGATACTCGAATGAATACAAATACTAAAATTTATCAACTTTTATGGAAATTTTGTTTCTACTTATATTTATTTACCTTAGAAACACTCGACAACTCCAATAATTTCAAACTTGTTATAATATGTTTGATAAACATATATAATAAATATTCTTAATCAATTAATTAATATAAATCTAAAATGGCTTATGTATTTATTTAAGCAAGCAAGCGCGTATGTACACGAAACCTGTTTGTTTTCAGTAGCTCGCTTCTACCGGTATTAATGGTAATCGTATATAACTCGTATTGCATTCAAGTGCTCGCAGCTTCATATTGCTATTAAATTACAGTTTTAGTATTGTATTGTCATCCTCTTGTATTTTCCTCTTGATTGTTCGTAATTTTTTAGTATTGGCCCGACAGTGAATCAAGTCTGAGAACAAGGAGATTATTTTTGCCATTTTTGCCATTATTACATTGGAATACCAGAATTATCCTATGAAATAAAAACCTTTCCATTGGATTTCGGGTATTTTCCATTCGAAGCTCCATTCACAAGGAAACATCGGAATGAAAAATCTTTAATAGCAAAGATGATATCGTCCTCGATTAGGCCGAAATTAAGTATACGTATACGACTAAAAATATGTATCAGCATAGTTTCAGCAACATGTAAAAGAAAAAAAAAGGAAAAAAAAGGAAAAAAAAAGAAAAAAAAAGAAGAGAAAAAGAAAATAAAAAAAAATTTTATTAACATACATAGCCAATGGTCAAGTCAATTTCATCGTGAGCATATTATTTATAATTCATTTATAATTCATTCATTATAATCAACGGAGTCAAAACATCTTAAATATGTTAGTACGTCAATATAGATTTGATAGAAGAACAACAAGCTTTTATCTCTTATCGCGACGTGCGGTTTATTCGTTAAATAGAAATTGCGCGCGCGTATAAGCCTCTGTATAATTTGACGCGACATTTTCTCATTAATTAAAGTGACAAAATATTAAAAGTACAGGCACACCGACTGCACATCGTCGAGCCTTTTACGCTGTGCGCACATACGAGTTGTTTGTTGAAAAAGCTTTAGAAAAGTACGCTCGTTATTAAGAAACCGGCGCCTTGACAGTCGACTTATTTACAGCACTTTCACCGCCAAGAAAGCCTATTATTACCTTATAAATTTGTGACTCGCGAGCTATACGACAAGCCTCACAAAAGCCTGCAAACGGCAGTAGAAATAAATTTACCGCGCCTATGGAAGTCCTCGGTGAAAAGGCGTTATTTAAGGATAATTTAGGGATAGAGCTTGAATTATCAGCCGCTGACCAACCTAGTCCCATCTATTTTCTTTGCAGGTCTGGGACTCGGTCCACAAACAACGGAGGAGGCCCACGCGGTGCTGGCAGCCGCCGCAGCCGCGGCCCTCCATCATCATCACCAGGGTGCCGGGGCTGGGGGCCCGGGCTCGATGAGGCCCCTGAGGCCACCCCTGCCCCCTGGGATGCTTCATACCTCGCCGCATCCTTTGGCCGGTCACCACCCACTAGCGGGACCGCATCCTCACCTCGTGCCACCCCATCCGGAGGAGGACGGGATCGTCGACGATCCCAAGGTCACCCTCGAGGGTAAAGAGCTCTGGGAAAAGTTTCACAAGCTCGGCACGGAGATGGTCATCACGAAGAGCGGCCGGTGAGTCGGGGCGCATATTATTACTTTGTCTCACTCGATGCTTCATCGCGAGTATCTGGAAGGATTTTCGGCTTTTATTTTTATTACGGGCCGCGCGTTTTCTCGTTATTTACGATTTTTCTCTCCTGGTCCTCGTTACATATTAATGTACTTACTGCCAGATGAGCCGTAGACACGAGCTATATTTTTTCTCAGTTAACTTACAATTATATCTTATCTGTTGATTTATCATATCCTCGGCTCATTACCAAACTTAAGAAAGGCGCTTCTCTCGCAGTCTTTGACTTGTTCAAAAAAAAAAAAAAAAAAAAAAAAAAAAAAAAAAAAAAAAAAAAAATAATTGCTTTAAATAATCTTTCCAGAACAATATATTTATCAACTTATAATGTACAAATTCTTAAGCTAATGTATTAATTGAATTGCTTAATGAGCAAAGGGTGGATGTACAACTACTTGACAGGAATTTTCAAGTAGATAATAAATTATTCGATTTGCCAGTCTAAACACTTCACCTACGAATACAAGTGTTTGGGCGTTATGCTTCCGAAAAAATATTTTGCCACGCAAAACCTCTCGAACATTGACCCTAAAGCATTGGCTTCCATAGCGACATCATCTCATTACAAGAGTCGCTAATTTAAAGATAATTTTTGCCTTCGAGTGCCGCGCATTATAACCAAACGACAAATTTGGCCCCGAATTATCATCAAACTGAATAATCACTCCCATTGAGCATCAAGTCATTCCCTCGTTAATGATCTCTTTCAAGCCACGTATCCCCAAATATTCAAAGCAGCACCAATTTTTAATTCAGCAACGTACATTTATAATAACATAGGCCCCCAATGACACTTGAGTTATTCCCGCGAATAATGCAAATGACGACTTCAGCGAAACGTTCAATTCATTAATGTAAACGGCCCCGAGCGCGAAACGGGAATAAAACATTCTAAGCTTCCACGAATTTTAATGCGCTCGGACAGCGACGTCCACTGTCTAGTGCGCACGCACAACGATTAGCATTCAAAGTCCCGAATCGGCCGCGATTCGCTCCGCCCTGTAATACGCGGTAATTTCCAAAATAATACAGCGCTCGCGCCCCGTTATCGACCGTACGAATCGCTCGCGGCGATTTTAACGAGCACCAAGCTCGCCGTTGATGGAGCCGACCCCGACTTTTCACCAATCTATTTTCGCACCCGCCGATTCTTATCTCCCGTCGAGCGGCTCGCGTCGATTTACCGAGCGGACCATCAGTTTCGCGCGGGTTTGCGCAATATTTTTGCTAAAGTAAGACCTCCGGGAGTCGCGCGCGCTCCAACAAATGCACGACAACCACTTCTTTCACGTCGGCGTATTTCGATCGAGCGTCCTTAGATTTTGGAGATCTATGATACGTTGTTCTTACGATAAGCGTGCGTTAAAGTACATTTGTTATTTGGACAAAATGTGGAGTGCTTTCGTAAGACAACAAAAGTTAACCGTGGACGCTGAATTCAGTTAGGAAATTTCGTAAAAGCCCATACGTTATCAAAATGAATTTTGAATCTGTATTTTGCCTTGTGGTAAATTTGATCGACACTATCGAGCTTTTAAGACTTCGGCACGAGGCTTATGACTTCATCGCGAGAATAAAATTAATGATTAAGGAAAGAAAAAATTGCCGCTGCTTTTACGTTATGGTATGATAATTTCCAAATTACAATATGCCATTTAATTCTCAAGGCAATTAAATTATGAAAGCTGTAATTTCGTAGAACGTTGTTCATAAGACTCGAATGTGACCTAAAGCTTACACGCTCGGCTGATTACTCGTAGCCGAAGCTCAGTGGCATTTAGACAAATAATTTATAATCAAGTGTATGGAGCATAACACCGTTACATTTTCACAATTTCCATTCCACGCTATCCCACCGTGATTTACAGCCGTAAAAAATTATCTACTTCCCTAAAGTAAGCGACTCACGGATTCCGGTTAGTACGAGAGAGAGAGATAGATAGAGAGAGAGAGAGAGAGAGAGAGAGAGAGCTTAGCTCCGCATTTTCTGCGCAGTATGATTAACGGAAGCTGTGTACAAAAGCGAAGAAGTAGAAATCCAAGTCAAGAGAGAGAGAGAGAGAGAGAGAGAGGGGGAGAGAGAGAGAGAGAGGGGGAGAGAGAGTATTTATTTATTTATTTTATCCAGCGTGTATTTAAAATTCAAATTTTCTCGATAAATTTCGATAATCAAAATGCCCGTTGCACGCCCGTTGTACGGCTTATTCACTTCGTGCATCCTGCGTCGGCAAAAGCTCCCACCGCGAAATTTTCATCAACGGGCTCCATCGTGTATTGTGCCCCTCCTTTTTCATCGCGCTCCTTATGCATATTGGGCACACTCGCGGGAGCTTAGAATAATTGATATCGCCAATGGTGGCCGGGGCCCCGTGGCGCTCGACGAAAGGCGCATTTTTCCGGGAAAGCAGCCGGAATTTCGCGCCGGCGAAAGCTGTCAAGCCGGTAATTTCATCAGCCTCTCAAATGTAATAATAGTAATATTACAAAATATGCAAAATAGTAATATTACGAAATCTTTTAACGAACCTTCATTATCCTCTTCGATTTTCTAGTTAGACTGTGATATCTTCTCCAGCTTGCGTTGGAAATTATGCTCGATCAATTAATTACATCGGACTTCTTTGTTCTCATTTTCTTGGCAGAAGCGATTTACGCGTTTTTGTGGAAGTGGAAAAATCCATTGTAACATCGATCGCTCTGTAATTGAATAATAATGCGAATATCGAAAGACACATTATTCGATAAAGAATAAAGTCTTACTTGGCTGATATTTTTCAAGTTACCTAACTAAGCCTTGGTCATGCAGGTAGATCAAAGCCTAAGGATCGAGACATTTGAGCGTATGCTTAATTTTCCGAAAGTAGAAGGTAATTATTGGCCGGAATAGAATATCATGGCGATCTTTAATCGCAAGCAAAGTCGCGACTATACTCGACAATGGCAAAAAGGTGATGATGGAGCAATTTTCCACTTTCAACAAAGAATAAAGCCAATGAGGCTCAAGCTCTAACTTAAAAAATCCAATGACCTTTTTCTTCAAAGTCAACTTTTATTTTTTAATCCTGATTTTAAAAGTCTATACGTCTATTATTGTCGTATTAGAAGCTCTGAGCATCAGCTAATTATTCGCTTTGGATCCCGCGAAGTAAAAAATTTTTCACTACTTGAACAAATAGGATATTACAGCTTTTGATAGAAGCAAGCAAAAGCTTTTCGCAATGAATTGGTCGCGGAGGTGGAGGAGGAGGAGGAGGAGGAGGAG